ATCAAGTACCAAGGACTCTGAAAGTCCCCCGCTATGCTCCCTCCATTCTGTAACCGCAATAAAAACTGCTTGTTGGAAGAGTTCAGAGCCTCTGTGTGAGCTCGGTTGCACCGGCTGCCAGCAGAGGTCCAGGCTCGAGCTTGCGAAATAAAAACCCTTTTGAAATTTCATCGGAATTGGCTCTTGGTGGTCTCTCGGATCGAACTCTTGGCCACAACACTATCTTCCAGGATAAAATGAGGGTGATTGGAACTCAGCGAGTATCTGGAGCCCAGGATGCAGCAAAAGTAAAAAGAATGCCTGAGCCCGCGGGTTCAAGACCCGCCTGGGCAGCGAGACCTCATCTCTACAATAAATAAAAAAATCAGCCGGGCGTGGTAGCGCACGCCTGAAGTTCCAGCTACTCGGAAGGCTGAGGCGGAAGGATCGCCGGAGCCCAGCAGGTCGAGGCTGCGGTGGCCGGGAGCGGCCACTGCACTCCAGTCTGGGCGACGGAGTGAGACTCCAACTCAAAAAAAAAAAAAGAAAAAAAGAAAATGAGGAAGGCCAGGTCTCTGTGGGATCTCTAGCTATACTCCCTGGTGCCCACCAGTGAGGTCTTAAGATCCTGACGATCGGAGGCAGTGGAAGAATGACCCGGATCAGAGAAGTCTGCCCTCTTGCGTTGCGTTGCAGCTGCTTCCAATGATAATCCTAGCCACATTCTCTTTGCAGGGCCCCCTCCACTCCTGGAAGTTTGTCTGGGAGGTGGGACAGAGTGGGGAGGAAGTGTGGAGAGTGACCTTTCCTTTGAAATGGCAGTACCTAGAGTTAAAAATAGGAATTCAACTGAACTTACCAGATAGGCAGGCTGTTTTTCTCTCACAATTAGGACCAGTCTCTTGGAGTCACACCGAATTTCTTCTGAAGACGTCTGTTCCTTGGCAGATTATTTCCTCCAGTGACACACTAGGCCCCCTCTCTGCCAGAGGCACTACACTCCTGGGGAGAAGGGGCTCCCCCTCTTCTAAGGCTCCAAGTTGCCTGTCTCGGGCCTCACTCTTCTATGATCTGGATCTTCTGAGATTTGGCATGCAGTCTGGTGAAAGAGAAAGCAGACAAGGAACGAGAGCTGTAAGCAGAGTTCTGACCATTTTCAGAAATCTGAGAAGCCCTGATGTGAGGAAATACACTCTTCACCCACCCACCACCCCACCCACTATCACCACCACACACTCACCTATCCACCGAGAAAACCTTGGCCCAGATCTTTTCCATAACTTTCACCACTCAGACAGTCACATATTCGCAGCTAGTCTCCTCTGTAGCTGGCACTTCCTGAAGCTTGGGTGAGGAAGTTAACTCAGACTAGATTAAATTCAGAAGTGAAACTACTGTGAGAGGCGGGGCTGTAAGCTTTAGAAGAAAACCAGTGACACTGCTCATATCTTTTGCATTCAGTCTCTTCTGAAATGGAGGGGAAAGTATGAAAAATATCCTTCTTTTACAGAAAATTAATAATCCAGTAAAATCATCTTATGACCCTCAGCACAGAGTATCTAAAAGCAGAAAACCTGCAGAGGTCAATTCAAAGATTCATATTTGAGATCTTTCTACTTTTGCAACCAACCCCCTTGGGAATCCATAAGCCTACCTGATTTTTTTTTTTTCCTATTTTTAGGTTGCTTGTCATTTTATAACATCTGTGAAGGGTTTGGTGGAAAAAGGGGTGGTAATAGTTGTGGGGCTTATTGGCATCATAAAATTTGCCTCAGTTATCCTCTCATTCTTCTCTGTTCAGTTGCTGTATCTCATTTTCCTCCTCATTTGTCCTTCTTCAGGGTTCAAATACTTTTCAATAGCCAAAGTCATCTGCCATGACAGAAAATGAGAGTCACTAATGGCCCAGCAGTAAGTGTCCTCAACTTATAATTGAGTGGGATCTGTGGTGAAACTGTTATAGGCTGAAAAGAGGTCATTTTGGTTATATTAGAACAGTCATTTGAAAAGACTTAAAAACTTGTATTCTATGTAGCTGAGGTGGGCTAAACGTAAAAGCTGTTTGGATTCAAAAGTGTACATTTTTCCTGTGTGTCCTCCTCCCACTCCTATCTAGTATGCTATTACTGGTGCTGAAGAAGAAACACCTGGCCAAGCCAGGCCACCTAATGATTAGGAGAACAGACCAAGACCAACAGGAATATGTCTGAAAACTTGGAGCGGACACTGCTCACCTCCCCTCCATCTGTGAATACAGGGCTCTGCGAATAAAAGATTGTTACAACTATGTTTTAAAACAATTTAAAGTTATCATCTTAAATGTTATGATTTTCCCTTCCTTTCAGATATTGTAATTGTCTGCCTTTTCTTCTTAAAAAAAAAAAAAAGGGTAAAAGAACATATCATAAATTCCAAAATGTTATCTAAAATGTCAGCATGACCAGGAGATTTGTGTCACGTCGGTGGTCACATATCAAAAATTGTTAATGTAAGTCTTGAATCATTAAGCCTTCAAACTCAGGGTGGGTGAAGGGCTCTAAATTTGGGGTATAAACACTGGAATAAATTTGTGTTGCTCTGAGTGGACTTTGCGGCAACAATGCCAACCTGTCTCCCTATAACCTCATTATGGAAATGAAACACTCCCTTTTCTCCCAGTCTCTGCCTCTTGTATTTTAATACAAGGGATAGCAGTCAATTTATTGGATTGGACCTTAACAAAACTACCTATATAAAGTTGATATCAGACCATAGGGCAAAAACTGTAGAAGAGACACAAGCCCTGAAAAGCTGTAACTATGGTTGGAATTTGGCAGATTTGTAGTTTCTAGGTTTGCTTTCACTCCAAGAGGGCAATAGATTATCTTCATGTCCTAACTTCGGTGGAGAAGGAGCAGATGCCCCACAAGGCTGATAAACATATTCTCCTTTAAACAGTGGACCAAAGACTT